CAGACACCTTATTTAGGCGCCTTTATTAAGAACCTAAAATTAGGCAAGATTAATCTGGGCCACCTCCTTTTGTCAATCACTGCACTGAGAGGGCAAAGGCACTAGAATAGATTTTCTCTGTGTCACTCATGGCCAAGAATCTGCAATAACTATCACACATGTTTCCTTGTGACATTCACTAATTCTCTGCACCTTTGTTGTGACACTGTTTCCTTTCCTGCCTTCACTGTCAGGCAATTTTTCCAGGCTGAAAGCTACTGCCATGCCAGGACCATAAGCAGCTTCTCCCAATAAGCTGCTTGTTGTTACCATACAAAATTTATTTCACTTTCTAACTGGGGGATTTTCCTCTGGTAATTGGTTTTCTCCATCTGTGCTTATTTTGCAACTAGTGAGGAAAGGATGTTTTTTTTCAGTTCCAGCTGGGATTACAAGGTAAACTGATCCATATATATTCACATTGTTGAGTTCTATTGCTATTTCTTCCTTTACACTTATCATTTATATGGCCAATATTGTACATCCCAACACTGTACTCTAAAGACATTACTTCAGAAGCAAAAAATAAGTATTATAAAGCAGTGCTACATCTCAAATCACACTGATATTACAAAGTGTCTAAATATACAACTAAAAGTCAAGGCCCCATTGTGCTCCCTCAACAGCAAATGTTCAAATCTTCTCACTTGGGCTGTTTCTAAAGTGACCAAAACATTATTTTTACCATCAGACTTAGAACTCTGAATTATCCTGTCCTGTTCTACTCTTTCCATGGATTATAAAGTGATTTCTGGGACTCACTGGCTTAATTAGCCACTATATTAGGCCTCATGTTTGCATCAAATGAATATACTTTCTTCATCAGCTCCTGCCTGCAGTGTTCCCTGCACACTCCTTTGGCTCTGAATAGAAAGTGTATCTGTGTTCAAGCTAATAAAGGTATAAAAATATAAAATTCTATTTACTTGAGTAAACGTGGAATTAGAAATCTAAGTTTAGTCCAGTGTTTGGTCTCTTGGCAGTGGGAAAAAGCTCTCAGTCTTACACTGGAAGAGATGGAAGATAAATTTCCAGTTTGGTTCAGAAAACAGTTTGGAGAGCAAAAGGAAAAATATTTGCAAGTTTTCAGCAGAATTCAAATGAGAGTTTCAAGCAAAACCAGTGATTATTTTTTTCTCAATGCCAACTTGTAGGAAACATTTCCTTTAAGCCCCCAGTGCATTTTTTTAAACCGAATTCAAAATTAAATATTGGCTTTTTCACTTGAAATAACATTTTTATTTTAAAAAAAGAGCAGTTAAAAATGAACAAAAGTGAAATGGAACTGACAATTGAAGAGAAATAATTTCTAAGTCTTACCTGCACGGCTGATCCAAAGGGATTCTATTCTTCTTTTCAATGTGACTGATATAAACCAAAATGCCCCTTCTAATTTCAGTCACAGTACAGAATTGTGGGCTGCATCCAAAGGATTGTGGGCAGCAGGTCAAAAGAGGTGATTCTTCACCTCTACTCTGCTCTCATGAGATCCCACCTGGAACACTGCACACAGTTCT